AGTATCATTAACATCACATGCAAGTAAAATTATGGTGAAGATAATTAAGTGGCCGCAACAGTACATCGACAGAGGTTCATGCCAGATTCAGATGAGGATGTGACATTAGGGTATCACTGCTGAAGTCAGACGGATCTTGGTTGAAAGCAGAGAATACCATAAATATGTTTACTTGTGTTTTACTGACAATGCAGAGGCTTTTTTTTTTGACTAGGTGGATCATGACAAGCTATGGATAACATTGCGAAGAATGGGTATTCCAGAAAACTTAATTGTGCTCATGAGGAACTTGTACACAAACCAAAAAGCATTCATTCAAAGAGAACACTGAATGGTTTGAAGTCAAGAGAGGTGTGTGCCAGGGCTGTTTTTCACCGTGCTTATTCAATCTATAAGGAACACTGGTAGCGGAGCGGTTACGAACAGGGCTGTGAACCTTAAGTTCAGCAGTTTAAAACTACCAGCTGCTCCATGGGACAAAGATGAGGCTTTCTACTCCCATAAAGATTTACAGCCTCGGAAACCCTGTACAGGGTCGCTATGTGTTAGAATCGACTCAAAGGCACTTAACAACAACAACTCAATCTATATGCTGAGCAAAGAACCCACGAAGCTGAGTTATATGACGAACAGGGCATCCTGGTTGGCGCTATGGGATAAAGCACTGGACCACAAGGTCGGTTTGATCCACATGGTCGGCAGTTCAAATTCACCAGCTGCTCCTTGCAAACAAGATCACTATGAGTCGTAATTGACTCAAAGGCACTTAACAACAACAACCTTGCTTGCTGAAAGCAAAGAAGACTTAAAATACTGAGGAAGATCACAAGTCAGTCTTCAGTATAGGTTTCACCTCAGTGTAAAAGAAACAAAACCCCTCACCACTGGACCAGTAAAGAACATCATGATAAATGGAGTGGAGACTGAAGTTGTCAAAGACTTCATTTTGCTGGGGTCCACAATCAACACTCACGGAAGCAGCGGTCAAGAAATCAAATGACATACTGCATTAAGCAAATCTGCTGCACAAAACCTCTTTAAGGTGCTAAAGAACAAACATGTTAGTTTGAGGACTAAGGTGTGGCTGACCTTGGCATTTTCTTTTTTTCTAGAAGTACTAAAGATTTATTCACTTTCCAAAGGAGGAACAGGGCTTAACACCAAACAGTAGTACAGGTCCTGAGGGTTTGGGAAGGAAGGCAAAGGGGCATTGAAGACAGGTGGAATGGAAGGCAGATTTACAATACAGTGATGGCACCCTCTGCCAAGCAGTGGTATTTCAATAGTCTCACATGTATGTGAAAGTTGGACAGTGTCTAAGGAAGACCTTAGATGAATTGATGCATTTGAGTTGGGGTGTTAGAGAACATTGAAAGTACCATGGACTGTCAGACTGAACAAATCTGTCTTGGAAGAAATCTGGCCAGAATGTTCCTTAGAAGCCAGGATGAGACTTTGTCATCTCTTATACTTCGGACACAATTATCAGGAGAGACCAGTCCTTGGGGAAGAACATCATGCTTGGTAAAGTGGAGGGTCAGTAAAAACAGGGAAGACCACCACCAAGACGGAGTGGCACAGAGACAGCAGCAATGGGTTCACACGTGACAACAGTGATGATGGTACAGGACTGGGCAGCGGGTCATTCTGTTGTGCTTGGAATCCGAGTCAGAATAGCCTCGATGGCACCTAACAACGACAACAGAAAAAGTCTAAATCGCCTTGAAGAGACTGCAGAATCATGGACATCAAAGGCAATACTGGTGAGGATGCAGGAGGAAGTGAGAAAAGCTGTAGAGAGAGGCTTTATTACCTCAGCAATAGTATACTGCTAGAAATGTGGATGCTACTACATATGTTTTAACTATGTAGTGAGGCATTGAAAGAAAAGGATGAACATGTGGCTAGACAACAAAGGGAAGATAATGCATTTTATATAATGACAAAGAACTTGTTTGAATTATGTTCAAATGTCTGGTAGAAGGGAGAACTTACAGTGCAAAATGAAAACAGAAATTAAAAGATTTAGACTAGCCTACACGAACTGCAAGGTTGGTGGCTCAAGCTCACCAGGTGCTCCTCGGAAACCCTATACAGGGTCGATATGGGTCAGAGCTGACTCGATGGCACTTCACAACAACACAATCTTTTGTTAAAGATTGTAACTGATGGGTCTAACCAACTATCATAGCAGAAAGAACAAAAGGAAAAAAAAAAATGCCTTCAGCCTCTTGGAATTCTACAGGCAAGAAATGGACCAAAGGATCCACATCTGTTGTCTTCCAAGAAAAAGGGCCATCCCTGGAGCCGCTCAAACATCAGAACTACTAGAAGGAGCATGGGCAGCAGGGTCGTTTCAGGTTCAAAGAGTTGGGCCACAGACTACTAGATTTCCAAAAGTAGGACTTCTGCCAGCTTGGTTCCAGAGGTTGGGGCTGCTGCTTAAGGTGAGCTAAAGAAATGGAGCTGCCATGCTCAAGGGGCTGAGAAGTAGGATGTGTTGGAGCCAAGGGATGAGGCTGCCATTCAGACGGACGAGGGGAATGAAGCAGGGGAGCATAACTGCCATCCCAGAGAGCCTGGAAATGCTCAGGGGTGAGCAAAGGTTGTTGTTGTTGTTAGGGGCCATTGAGTCGACACCAACTCATAGCGACCTTATGCACAGCAGAATGAAACACTGCCCCGTCCTGGGCAAACCTCACAACTGTTGTCACACTTGAGCCCATTGATGCTGCCACTTGGCCAATCCATCTCCTTGGGGGTCTTCCTCTTTTTCTCTGACCCACCACCCTACCAAACACGATATCCTTCTCCAGTGACTGAATGGTCCCTCCTGACAATATGTCAGAAGTATGAGAGACGAAGTTTAGCCATCCTGGCCTCCAAGGAGCACTCTGACTGCACTTCTTCCAACACAGAGCTATTGGTTCTTTTGGCAGCCTTTCAATATTCGCCTTCAATACCATAACTCAAATCTTTAGGGGAACAGAAAACCTTATCTTTCTAACAAAGAGCATCTAGTAGATTTGAACTGCTCACCATGGCTAGCAACCCAGCTCGTAATCCACTACGCTACAAGCGCTACTCTTACAGTGGTAAACAAGGTTAAGTAGCGCCAAGAGGTTAAGCTATAAGAAAACTCAAAATAGTTGAGATAAATTTCTTAATCTTCTTTTCATTATGGTCCCCCTGCCTCTCAAAAGGACCTTTTTTGAATTCCTCCCTACAAATTCCCCGTTATGAATCTGCTATATAACTATGTATATCTGTGTTTTATAGAGTACTAGATGATATACTCAAGAAGTTTACTGTCAAGGGGAAGAAGACAAAAACAGATAATAAATGGCAATAGTTCATGAAATGAAAGGAGAATATTTTTAAGAACTGAAAGGAAGCGGGAGCAGAGGGGGTTAAGGCTGATGATGTAGGAAGGAGACAGAGAACAAGGACTCAGGGAAAGTAGATGTGGTTACAGGAAGATGGTGGCTTCTATTTTTTCAGTGTAATAAGCCCGTGGTTGTCAAGTCCATGCCAACTCATGGGGACCCAAGTGTTACAGAATAACTGAGCTCCATAGGATTGTCTTGACATCTAATCTTTACAGAAGCAGATCACTGAGTCTTTCTTCCCTGGGGTTTCTGGGGAGATTCGAATCACCAACCTGTTAGTAGTATACTACCCTGGGACTGTTCGCTGTGAAAGGAGAGAGGGTGTTTGTGAGGGAGAGAGTGGAAGTTCGCTTTTTTACAAATCACTCTTGCCACTCACAAATTCAGTACAATGTGTTCTATGTATAGAAACACTAAAATCTTAAAGACTCAGAAAGAAAAACTCATTGTGCTGTAAAGACAGCGTCCATATTAAACGTATGTAGGCTTCCTATGGTTCTTTATTCACTCATACACTCCACTTTTCCTACGACCTCAACTCAAAGTGCCCCCCTTTTCTTTAATTCCCAAATTTATCCTTCTGGTTGTAATCTTAATTCCCTTTCATTCTGTCTCTTAGAATTTTATCTCTCTTGAACCTTTAATCTTATTACACTCACTAGTTACTTGCTTTCTCCCTAAAAGCTATCATCTGTCTTGTATTCTTTAAAACAAACGACCTAATTTTGTCCCCCACCTTGTCATCATCAATGGCTTCATGCCCCAATAATGAAGGATTAGATTACATTCTTTACTCCCATTCACTATTAAAACTGCTGCCGATCGCCCAAAGATTCCCTAATCATCACATCCAATGCACGTTTCTCAGACATCAACTTCCTTCTCTGACCCTTACAACATGTTAAGTAATACTGAAAACCTTCCCTCGCCAAAGAAATCTTTTACTCTATTAGACTAAACTTCACCTATTTTGGTAATTGCATTGAAAGTTTCTTCCTGGTTTTAATTCTCAGGCTTGGTTTTCATCTTCACCTAAGGCGGTGGTTTCAAGCTGGACACTAAATACACCATTCGTCCTCCACAAAACTACGCATGTAAGGGCTTCTAATTTTATAGTGGCAACACCGTTTTGGACATCTAGGCTACAAATTTCAGGTTCAATTGAAATCCACCAAATCCAACCAGCTCATTACTCTTCTACACGATCACTTCCTCCTTTAGATCTCCGTCACCTCTCTTCCGAAGAACTGCAACACCCTCCTCACTACCACCCAGGCTCATCCAGGCGCCACCCTCTAATCTCTAATCGGACGTCCGCTTGGCTTCCTCCAGCTCAGTGTAGGGAACAAGAGCTTCCTCCCGCGCCGGGGTACAGAGAGAGGACCCAACAAGCTGGAACCTTAGGGGCACCGAGGCCTGAAGTCACTGGGCCGCAGATGCACCGCTCCTTTCCTGCCCAGTTAAGAAAGCCTGGGAGGGAGGAGCGGCCCCCGCCCAACAGCACCGGAGACGCTCCCGCAGCCCCAACTGGAGTCCGGAGCCCCTACTATTTAGGCTATACCCCATTTTCCGAACTGTCCCAGCCCGCTGCTCCCCGCCTCTCACACTCACCCCAACACCTGCGCCAGTTAGTGATTCGGCGCCGGGACCTAGCTGGACCAAGGCTGAGACAGCTGAGAAGGCCGCGAGGACCCCAGAGGCGGAGTGCCCAGGAGATTGCCTGATTAACAGCTCCAAAGACACTGACTCTGCAGTATCGAAACGTTTACATAATCGGGAAGACATTAAATGACAGGAAAGACGTCTCTTGAAGTTTAGGACCTAAATCTTCTAGCTTGTCCAGGATCAAGAAGAATGGGGATTTCGTACTATCTGAACTCAGGCGCTCTTCAGCAGCCTAATTCGGTCTGGAATTCCCCCCTGTAGGTCCCCCACCGCCACGAATGGGCGGATACAGTGCGGGATTACCCAATAAGCAAAGTAAGCACAGGTTTACTTGTGCTTATTTACTAATCTGTAATAGACAGTTTCACAACCCTTAAACTGTCCACTAAGATTAGTAAATAAGCACAGGCAGGCCTCTGCTTACTTTGTTTAACCACCACCACCAGGTGAGTATTGGTTTTGTAACAGAGGAGAAATTCAATGCTGTGGATCGGAAAAATTTGGACTGGGAGGAGTTGAGAGGGGCGTGGTTTAGAGCCAAGAAGGCGGTGATTCGTGGAGGGGGCAGAACCCTCGAGCTGAGCGGGTGGGGTGCACTCTAGAGCCAAAGTGGGGTGAGAGTGAAGATGGCAGCGGCAGAGGAGGAGCCCAAGCCCAAAAAACTGAAGGTGGAGGCGCAGGGAGCGCTGAGGTGAGCGCTGCCCGACGTGGGGAGGGATGTTGGCGGCTGCCACAAGCCGGGGCCCACATGGGGTTGCGTGGTCCTGGTCTCATGGTGCCTTGCTGCTTGCCAGGGGCCAGCGCACTGGACCAGCTGCTTCGGCTGCTGCCCGCGTGGTCACGACCTCGTGTCCCTTGCCCGGCGCCCGCCCAATTTGTGTAGTGGAGTCGCCGCCTGTTCCGGAGCGGCTCCGGCTCTGGTAGCCCTTAGCCAATCAGAGTGGCGGGTTTGAGGGCCGAGCCGGCCTCGGGCGGGCTGCGGGCTCCACGTGTGAGCCCGCCGGGGCTAGGCTGTGGTGACCCAGGAGAACCGTACTCGACCCGAGTGCCGTCGAAACTTGGGCACCTCTACCAAGGGGGCTAGGTAGCAAAGGAAGAAGCCCTGTGCTTGCTCTACGCTGGGGGAAAGGACTGCTCCTAACAGATTGTTAAGGATTTTGCAGAAAATGTGGCTGAAAGCTTCATTGACCCAACTCATTGCACACACTCCGAATGCCAGCACCATTGAAGACCCTCACCCAGGCACCCACATCCCGTCTCCGAGGCATGGTGGGGGCGGCAATTGACTGAAGAAATAGGAAAGGCTTGTTCTCTTTTTCTTTGCAGTTTTTGGCAACAGTCAAGACGTGTTATGTTCTAAACACCTTCGTTACTGATATTGCAAGTTTTACTTATAAAATATTTAACTGCGTCTTTCCTTATTGGTGCTGTTAATTGCCTTTGAATTGGTTCCAACTTCGAGCTACCCTCTTAAGGGTTTCCAGGTGAGGGCTGAACGGCTGACTTTGAGCTTTATCCCATAGCGCCACACCAGGACTAATACGTATACAATACAGGGTGCACAATCCTTGATGATTGAAATGCAGGTTGGAAAGTAATGATTTTTCTATCTAAAAATAGGCATATCAAACTGACTTGAAACTGTTGGCATTCTCCTGACACCCGCCCCCCCCTCCCCCAACATCACCCTTTATCTTCTAACAATTTAAAAGAAAAGGTCACTTAGGGGCTTGATTTGAGGTCTTGCTTTTTGAGTGGAAGGTAACCAGATCCCTGGGGTGGCGCTGTGGGTTAATGCGCCAGACTGCAAAGCCGTTTGAACTGCAAGGTCGGCGGTTCAAGCTCACCAGCTGCTCCTCAGAAACCCTATACAGGGTCGTTATGGGTAGGAGTCGACTCTACGGCACTTAACAACAACAACAACATATTCCAACTACCCTGAAAAGGTGTGGCACTGTAGGATAATCCCTGGCCCTCAAGGTCGGGTCAAACTCACCAGCTGCTCCTCGGAAACGGGTAGGAACCCACTCGACGGCACTTAATAACAGCAAGCCTGAAAAGGCTAATGTGCCTACCTTGTTAGCTTAGGTTCATTGGGTGGCCCCTGCCTCATGGCCACTCCAGGCATGCACAGCTCTGTAAAACACCACCTATAGACACCGTCTCCATGATTGTGGATTGGATTTTTTTGTTTGTGTGTTTGTTTTTCTCGTTCTTTCAATTAACCAGGTAACTCTGGTTCCCAAATGTATTATTAGATTTAAATTGTGATATGCGTGGAAATTTACAGAGCAAATTCGGGTTCCATTTACAATTTATACACATTTTGTAATGCTGATTGCTAGCCCGCACGTGTAATTAGCATTTCCTCCCAGTGTGTACTATTGCCATTCCTTCTCCTTTCTTATCCCCTATAGTCTAGTGGTTACGAATCGGGCTGCGAACTGCAAGGTCAGCAGTTCGAAACTACCAGCTGTTCTGCGGGAGAAAGCTGAGACTTTCTGCTCCCGTAAAGATTTACAGCCTCGGAAATCCTGTACAGGGTCACTATGAGTCGAAACCGACTCCACGGCACACAGCCACCACTCTCTTCCTGGAGGTTTGGTGTAGCGTCACATGCTAAGCCCTGAACTGCTAACCGGGAGATCTGCAATTCAAACCCACCAGCCACTCCTCAGAAACCCTTTACAGGGTTGCTGTGACTCAAAACTGACTTAGTGGCACTTAACTATGACAACATTGCCTTCCTGGTTTTATCCTAGGCAAATGCTGCACTGATCTTTGGTTGATCAGTGTTCCAGTGAGAGTGGGTTACCGCCCCTAATGTTCTTGTTCACCGTGTAGGCCAATAATCTGAATGAAAGTTGGGGGTGCAGGGAGTGGAAGTCAGTTCCATGAGAAGCCTAGGGCTTAACCCCGTGCTAGCAGGGCTCCTTTCCAAAGGTCCACCTTGTACCAATAAAATACTTTTTTTTAACAAATCAGGGTGTTCTACTTTTTATTTTTAAAGCTTTCAAACTCTATTCAGCGTAAAGTAAGAATTTTTAAATCAGACTTTCCTGGGTTCCAGGTTTGTACTTTTCCTACTCGACCCTTTATTAGAGCTGTTGAGTCAGTTCCAACTCATGCTGTTGTTTAGTGCTGTTGAGCTGGTTCCAACTCATAGTGACCCGATGTAGAATTTCCAAGAAACAACTGGTGATTTGTTCTTATCCTACAGCGACACACCAGGACTTCCTTATAAGTCACCTTCTTCACAAATACCCCGCCCCTGCAAATCTGCAGACAGATACTAGCCTTTCTCTCCTCTCCTACTAAGTATGCTGCTTGAGTGCTATCATTCTGACCAGAGAGACACTGTATAGGGTTTCTGAGGCCATAAATCTTTACAAGAGCAAAAAGTCTCATCTTTTTTGGTGGCGCGTCTGCTGGATTCAAAAGGCTGCCCTTGTGGTTAGCCGCCCAGCACTTAACCCACTACACTACCGCAGTTCCCATTAAACCTACAACTCTAAGAATTTTCCTTACTACAAAGGTAATTAAAAAATATTGCTACAAAATGGTAGCAACTTTTATTAAGAAAAATATCAAAATGTGAAGCTATTTTCTCAACACAGCTCAATCTATACACTTCTGAAGACAACATTTCCATCTGTAACCCTTCCTCGTGTGGCGCCCTGGGCTCATGCTTCAGACTGCAAAGTCGTTTGAACTGCAGGGTTGGTGGTTCAAGCTCACCAGCTGCTCCTTGGAAACCCTATAGAGGGTCGCTATGGTTTGGAATCGACTCAATGACACTTAACAACAACCCTTCCCCTGCTGTGCTTTTTGGTTTGCACCATGATCCTCAAGGGACTCAAATTGTGTCTCTTTGAAATATTCTTTGAGTTTTAGGAATGAAGACAAATCTGAGTGGGCAAGATCAGGGCTGTATGGTGGTGGATGGGATAAGGTTTCCCAACAAATTCTCATAGGATAGTTCTTGTTACCCTTGAAGAGTAAGCAAGAGCATTGTAATGGAAACAAATTCCTCAGCACAATTTTTTTTTTTTTACTGTTTTCTTAAAACTTCAGACTAATAAGTCCCGTGACCTGCCAGGAGTTGCCATAACCTTCTGAGCTTTAAATTCTTCTTTGAGGTCTTCCCACCCTTCCTTAAAATGCTTAATTGTGTGGGGCAGTTTTCCTGTTGTAACCTCGTCGCAAAACTTCATTGATTTGGGAAGATGTTCACTTAAATTTTGTTAGAAATTTGATGTTAGCCCTGACTTTAAAATCCTTTTTCCATGGACCGAACAGTATCCTATATATATATTTTTGTTGTTGTTGAAGATGTCTTAACAACACTAGCACAAGTGTAGGACCCAGAGAATTTATCTGCAGCCATCCTCTAATGTCATGCTTTGTTTTGCATGTAGTAGCAAGCTTTTTGACCTATCCTTGTATATAATGCTGATCCATTTTTAAAGTATTGCATTTTCTTTATTTATATTTCATTGGATCGCTCTGTAATTTACAAAAGGCAATATTTCCATTTTATATATGAGGAAATTGAAGCCCGAATGAAGCAATTAGTTGAAGAACTGAAATATGAACCCAGGGCATTTGGGCACCGTTCATTGATGTTCCACTTTATGGTGACTATATTTATACAACCACCCAACATATGCTTATGCATCCTTACAAATATTGATAAATTTGTTGGTGAATGCTGTTGAGTCAGTTCAGACTTACAGGAAACCTGTATTGGGTTTCCAAGGAGCAACCTGGTGAGTTTAAACCACTGACCTTGCAGTTAGCAGTCCAGTGCTTATCCTACAGCGCCATACCAGGATTCCTAGTAAATAATACTTTAATACATATGTGCCAGGCACTGTTTCAGCACCTTTACTTGTTTAAACTCATTCAATAACCTTATGACATAGATAACTATAATTATCTCCATTTTGCCAATGAAGAAACAGGCAAAGAAGTT